ATGCATAATCAATATTGTGATTAAATAAAGGTGTCTTATTTATACTCAAAAGTTTGGGGCCATATACGATTAGTATTATTCTTGTGTTTCACTTTTCATGTATTGACTTCCCGAATAATAAGATTATTCCACAATGTCCCCAAAAAAGTTCCCTTCAACTTTTTGTTGTCCATAGTCCCCGAAAATTGCATTGTTCTCCAAATTAATATTGTTGTGAAATTCTAGTAAGAGATTTGCATACCACTGATTTGGTTGAGGAGGATCCACCCAATGGAAGAATTTGCAGTCTTTGAGTTCATCCTGGTAATTTGGGCAACCTATAAACCTTCTTCATGGGTTAAACAGAGTCTACGAAGTCCATTTGCCAACGAGATCACCACAATAGCACTTTCTTCTTAGTCGATTCATCACTCTTCGATTTGAACCTCTGCTTCCTACAGAAGATAAAGACGACATTTGTAGCTACTCCTCCTGCTTTGATTTTTGCCTGGTCCGATTTTAGGGCACGAACGAATGAATGATGTATATATTTAAGTTTCGTTAAGTGACTCACCATCCACCTAAGCATGCCCAGTCCATGTAGACTTTTTTAACGGGCTAAATGAGGGTCACCAGATGATAAGGGCTAAATTGTCCGGTTTATTGGGCTTTTTCATTCAAAAAAAATTATGACTTTTTTGAAACTTTTGCCAAAATATAGGGACTTTATTGTAGATAACCGTTTTATGTTTAATTAGTTTCGAAATTATTTGTATATTTTAATATTATGTAAATTAGTTTTGTATAATTTTTTTTAGTTTGTGTTTATTCTAAAATAAAAAAAAAAATGAATGGGTTGAGTGGGTTGGAAAAAATAAGTTTTTCATGTGTTGTGGGGTAGAAAAGATAAAAGAGAGAGAAGAAAGAAAAATTTATATGACAGTATGTTAAATGGGTTGGGAGGAAATGACTCCCTCCACCTGGATCTCCAATTGTTAACCTATACTATGACTTAAAATTATTATCACCTTATCATTCTATTAGTTTTAACCTATAATTAAATTACATCTTCAATGATTAACCTCTTCCAATAGATTTTTCTTTATTTTTCGTAATATATCATTGTCTATTCAAAATAGTCTATAAAATTTTATCCCTTTAATTAGTCATTTTTTAAACTCATGTCATGTTTTATAAACGCCACAAACAAACAAAAATAGAAACAAATGTATATTGGATCTTTATTTTATATACGTGAAATATTAAAAAATTAATGTTATAATCATTAAAAATCGTTATAAATTTTGGATTTCTTAATATGTCATCAAATATTTGATAGAAATAATTAATTAGTAAATAAATTAAAAATATTTAAAGCTAAAATGTAATTAAAGGTAAAAAAAAATATGATTAGAAAATGAGATGGTTAAATATACTAAAAAGTATACTGACCACTCAATATTTATTGAGTGATCAATATCAAATATATATATATATATATATATATATATATATATATATATATATATATATATATATATATATATATATAATAAGTGATAAATAACTTAAATCAAATAGTAATAAGCTTAAAAAAAACCAATGTTTTAAAACCCGGGTTTTTAGTTGACCCGGTATGATGAGCGGTTCACGGGTCAATCGGTTGAACCGTCGGATCAACCCGGTTTATGATCTTTTTCTATTTTTATATATTTTTATTTTCATGCATAATGCATAAACATATAAAACCAATAATTTAATGTCCACAAAGTTTAAATATTTAAAAACATTGAAGAAACCACAAACGGCTCGTTGTTTTGGCGTTCGCTACTTGTTTTCAACTATTCAAATCCTATTAAAACGGGTCAATCCGGTTTTAACCGGTTCGACATAAGCGGTTGAACCGCGGTTTAGAGGAAACCCGGCCGGTTCGATCCGGTTCGTATTTTTACAAAAAACCGGTCTCAATTGACCCGCCTTCTATCCCGGGTCACGGTCCAACCGCTTGAACCGGCCGGGTCAACCCGGGTTTTAAAACATTGAAAAAAACATCTTTAATGGTTAACCTATTCTATCATTTAATATTTTTGTCAAATTATTATTTTAATACTTTTGATCTCTAATTAAATGAGCACTTCGATTGTTAAGTTTTTCTAATATTTTTTTTATAAATTTAACTTATTCATTTTCATTTATCTTCATAAAACCTCATAATTTAACTAGTAGTCATTACATATATTATACTTTAATATGAAATATTTTAAATTAAGGCTATCATTAGAAATTAGTATATAAACATTTAATAAATGAAAATTTATGAGAGAAATAATTAAATAGTTAAATAAATGAAAAATATTTAAAACTAAAATATAATTAAGGGGATAAAAATAATATATGTTAAAAATAGAAAATGTTAAATGTTTAAAGCTTTATACTATAATGATTATTGACGATTCAATATATATTGTGTGATCAATATAAATGCACATAAATCAATCTATTATAACAGTACTAAATGAAAATAAGTTATGAATCAATTAAAAAATCTTTAAAATAAGTTTTCATTGGAGTTAATAGTGTTAAATGAAAATTAGATATGAATCAATTAAAAAAAAAAGCTTTGAAATAAGTCTTCATTAGAGGGTGATGCTCTAAGACAACAATGATGAGACATTTTGTAAAGTGTATTAGTAGTGTATAATTGGATTTCCCAATTCGACATGGAATTGTTAACAATAAACATTTATTCATTCACTTATTGACATGAAAGAAGCATGAATTACCTGCGACTAAGAAATGAGCTATTGGATGCAGATTAAAGAGGGGAGGATATGCAAAACTTAATTTGTACTAAAAAGATGAAAGCATAATCTATCTAAAAGATTATTATTATTATTATTATTATTATTATTATTATTATTATTATTATTATTGTGAAAGCTCCAATCAATGTCAATCAACATGTCATGAAGAATCATAGAAAGATCTTGGACCAAAACATGAAGAACATTCAAGTATTTTTGGTAACAAGTTATCGTCTTTGAGAGGCGATGGACGATGGTGGGTGGTGTTGTTCGGAATCTGAAGAAGAAAAAAAAATTCAGAGAAAGATCAAGGACAAAAGTGTCCATTTTTTAGCACCACTCCTATACAACCAGATTTTATGCCATATTTTTTGTCACCTCGGCTTCTCCCCATCCATTATATATTGAAGTTCATAGAGTTTAATGGATTGTCACATCATATTTTTATAATCCATACAACTCTATTATTTTTTCTCTACAATGCATTAAACTCTACAAAGTTCAATAGAATATTACAAAATGTAATTTATAGTATATATTTAATGATTAAAAACTTTCCTTTTTCATTTAACTCCAAATCCATTGAATGCTTAGGTGGCATCTCACCATGGTAGAGTTTCATCCATTGAATGACACCTAGACTCGCCACTTCATTCAACTCTCTCATTAAACTCACATTGTGGATGCTCTAAATTTCAATTGTCGCATTCGCTTTTCATCCTTTATAGTCGACTCTCGCTTATTCCCTTCTATTTGGGCTGGACTTCTAGTGTGGATCTAAAATTTGGCCCAAACAAAATATACTCAGAACTTTATAAAATTTATTATCCTCGTCTCAATTGATGTCCTAGGTTGTGGCCCATCTCGTCCGGCCCTTGGGTCGACTATGTTTCATGTTCAAATCTCATTGTAGTTGAACCTTCATGTCTATAAGAATAAGTAATGTTAAAATTCGACATGAATCGATAAGTTACTCGCCACCTCTTCCACACAATCTTTATCAAGTCACCACAACCCATTTGATTTAAATTAATATTTTTTTTTGAAGAAGATTTGAATTAATATTATAGAAGAATAAATTGATATTTCTTTTATGTTATCTTATTATTTTAGCTTTTTCTTGAATGTACTAGGTAAGTTATAAGGCCCTTGTTGAGGGTGGTTCGGGTATATAAAAGGATTAATGTAAAATCTTGTAATTGTATAAAATTTTCAAAATGTTATATTTTGATTTCGGTGAATATTCAAAATACTAGGTATAAGATCAATGTATTATATGAATTTATTTAATAGAAAAATTAAATATGAAATTCTAAACATTCGAAAAGCTTGAATTTATAAGAAAAATTTTTAAAAATATATATTGAATTATTAAAATTAAAATGTTTTTTTTTTTTAATTTAAACAAATAATTTAAATAAATAAATAAATAAACTAATGATGTTTTAATTTATAAACTTTGAAATCAAAAAAAAAAAATCAATTAATGAAATTGATATATATATATATATATATATATATATATATATATATATATATATTATTATATTTATTGTAATTATTATATTTAAATATTATGTGGAATTTAATAAAATAAAAAACTTAAAAATGAGATGTGGAAAAAAAAAAACTAATTTAAAATAACTACACAATAACATATAGCAAAATGAGTAAGAGTATCCTATAACAAAAAAAATATTTATTTATTAGAATAGATAATATGAAACATGATTGGCATAATTAATAAGGAAATGCAAGTGTGTTACTATATTGATTATTGAATAAAAAAAATAAAGTACATTGTTTATATAGGTAAAAAGGAGTAAAAACATTGAAACCAAGTATGTTGCTATTATTGTAAGAAAATGGAAGTACATTGTTATTACGGATTTCAAAATATTGTACTTGAATTTTCTTTTAAAATTTCAATAAAACCAAAAAGGTGAAAAGCACGATGCTATGTACTAAAGAACCCAAAAAGTCGTTGCCATTATTACATAACTTTTCAGCCAACTGTTGGTAGTCATACAGCTAGCTAACAAACTAAACACTGCGTAATTGGTAATTACCAACATGCCCTCCTTATATGCTAACAGAATCCATATCAAAATGTACATTTTAAATAGTCATATGGTTGACCTCAAAAGTCAACAGTTAGTAAAATTGACCTTCAGTGGAAACAGGAGAGCTCTGTATGCTGCTGCAAAAACTTTGACACTATACAACTACACATTTTAAATATATACATCCTGATCATCAATAAAAATATATAAAAAATAAAAAAAGTTATTTGATACTTTTTACAGGAGATTGTGTTATACTTATATGTTGTTTTAACTTCTCATTTGAGGCTTCCTTTTCTGCCTTCTTTTTATCCGCCTCTAATTGCCTGGTGTTTTCCTCGTGTGCTTGATTAAACATTCTCACAAACTTGAGCAAAGTTGAAACAACTGAAAACAAAAAGGTATAAATATAAATATAATCAGACTTATAAAAAATGTGAAGAATCTGTTTCTTTGTAATTTATTATTACCTTGCTCATATGGGCAACGGACTGGATCCTCACCAAAGTAAATAATTAAAGCATCCACATTTTTACCCTATAATAATAAGAAGCTTTGCTTAAAAATGTAAAATGTTTAAAAACTTATTTTATATTTAAAAAAGAAAAAAATATATATATGTGACATACAACGGTAGAATATAAAGAAGCCAATGATCTTGCTTCACCTTCTGCTGAACAAAGGAAATCCTTCAAAGCCTATGCCAATAAAACACAAAATAGTTCAGTTAAGACGACTTATCTTGTACTGTGTTTGGCATGTATTGGACTGAAACTAATGTCAATGGAACAAAATCACACCAAAAAAAGGGCATTTTTGTCTTTTGCATAGGCGAAAGATTGAGAGTGGGTCCATAACCCATCTTTTTTTGGTGGAACAAAAAATTGTAATTTTTGTTCCATTGATATCAGTTTCATTCCAATACATGTCAAATGCAGTACAACCTGTTATGTCATGTTATGTCAGACTGATATTCTTACCTTGCGGAAATTTTCAGACACGGGTCCATCATTTTCAGACATTGACAATTCCTGGACAACTTTCTCTAATCCTTTGGTAATAGCTTGCATTTCCTCCGCCAAGTATTTCAATTGCATCTGGAAAGAAATAATCAATATAATTAAACATTTAAAAAAAAAAAAAACATTGCTAAAAATTTGTAGAAGATTAAACTAGAATATACCTTTGCTGCAGGTTCCAAACTTTGAAGATCCTTGGAAAAGTCAAGAACTTCAGGTAGTTTGTCAGCAAGCACCTACATGCATCCACCGTGATTCACAAAAGTTGAAAAAAGGATAATTTTCTTTTTACTTTTACTTTTACTAAAATAAAAGGAAAAGAAATAAAATAAATACCTTACAAAGATAATGCATAAGCGTCATTCTATTGTTCCTTGCACGTGTGTCTGTAAGTTTCAACAGGCTATCCAACCTGAACCCAATCGCAGACCCTAAAACAAAATCAATTTTTATATTTCTGTGAGTATAAAATGTCAAAGTCAAAGTCAAACTTAACTCACCTCTTGCAGTCCCTTGATTCAATGCATTTCCTAATGAAAGAATTGTTTGCATCACTCTCTTCAATTTAGCAGAACCCCTGGTCTGATGCAAACACCATCAACATTAATTAGACAAATACATATATATATATATATATATATATATATATTATATATATATATATATATATATATATTAATAACTAATTAACTATCATAACTTGCCTGTTCTACTGCAGAATTTATTATGTTCAGGTTCTTCCTAAGATCAGAAACCTAAATGCCAACAAAATTCAAGTTTTAGATTTATATATAAAATAAATAAATAATATGAATATCTTCTTAGTTCTCACCTGTGTGTTGAACTGTAACTTAAAAGAGAAAACTCTGAGTTTAGATTCTGTACGCGGAACTTTCATTAACTCCAAGAAGAACTGTTGTAATAAATAATAAATATAAATGTGTCCATCAAATTAATTTAAGTTGTGGACATATTTTTAAATTAATTTAGGAAAAATGTGTATATTACAAAGTTAAAACCTGTTCACATTTGCCCAATTTATCCGTCTCTCCTTTGTAAGCCTAACCATAAAAATTGTTGGTTATAGTTAAAGCAAGGGCTATTTCTTTCATAGAACCTTTTTAAACAGTTGAATTAACATTTTACCTTAAGCAGCTCCATTTCCTCTTTTGTTGGACAAAACTTTATGAGGTTGTCCACTTGATCTGAATCCATTGCTGAGTCTTCTAACGCAAGGACATGATCCTGTTAAGTTTCACAAGCAAAGAACTATGAGAAGAACATTATTTAGTATAAATTATAGACTATAAAAACAATAATATAGATATCTAAATGACCTTACCATCAATTCATTTAATGGTATTTTGACCTTTGAAAGCATGATTTCACAGTTATATGCCCTCCTGTGCTCAATCTGCAGGAAATTGAACAATATAGTAAAATAACTTTATGTACAAAGAATTACAACCTCATTCTACTCAATATTTTACCAGTTGTATTTTTTCAGGTTTATTAGCTACCACTGTCCGAGATTTTGACTTTTCTGCCCCTTGGTCAGGGTTAGGGTTTGATGCTGAGAACAGAGACTCGAGTTCTGATATGTCAATTTCGGGTGCCCTAATGTGAATGAACCATAAGAAAAACAGAGGATCAAGGCAAAGTTAGTGGGAGAAATGGCTTCATCCTTTTTCAAGAAAGAAAAAAAAAAAAAAAAAAAAAAAAAGGAAAAAAAAAAATTACTTTGCAAGATCACCAGATTTTTGTGTCTCAGCCCACAAGCTTCCTTGTACTGCTCTTGTTATCTTCAGCCAATGCAAAGGCTTCAGTTTCTTGGAATGTTGAGTTTTCAAAGAAGTTGTTTTTGACAAACTACGCCCTTTAGTTAAAGGTGGTGGAGGAGATGGAGCTCCAGGATTATTGCCTGCTTTTGGTGGGGGTGGAGGTGGGACAACACCCTTCTTCACATTTCCACTAGAGAAGGTTGGAGGTGGTGGTGCTGGTGGAGTTGAAGAAATCCGTGATGCTGGAGGAGGTGGTGGTGGTGGGCCTGATGAAATCCGTGATGCTGGAGGAGGTGGTGGAGGTGGTGGTGGGCCTGAAGAATTTCGTGATGCTGGAGGAGGAGGTGGTGGTGGTGGACCTGAAGAAATCCTTGAAGCCAGAGGAGGCGGTGGTGGTGGTGGTGGTGGTGGGCCTGAAGAATTCTGTGATGTTGGAGGAGGAGGTGGTGGTGGTGGGCCTGAAGAATTCCGTGATGCTGGGGGAGGTGGTGGTGGTGGTGGGGGAACCGGGGATGCAACTCTTTCAACTCTACCTTCCTTTACAGGTGGTGGTGGCGGTGGTGGTGATGGAGAGGGACCTGCTCTAATAACTGGCTTGTCCTTTAACGGAGGGGGAGGAGGTGGTGGTGGTGGAGAAGGTTGAAGTATAGTATCCCTTTTGTCCTTCACCGGAGGAGTTGCAGGGTATTTGAGGGAAGATAAAGATTGAAAAGGTTCAACCTTACTATCTGTTTTATCCCTTTTTAACTGGCTACGATGGAGGATGGATGGGGAGGATGGAGACTTATTGTCCTCCTTAGTGTCCCCCTCAGTGTCCTTTAATGAGGGGCTAGGTAGAAGAATGGAGGGGGGGATTAATGGAGTTTTAGTAGGTTTAAGTTTAACCTTATTATCTGCAACTTCTTGTGATTCTTGATTTGAAGGAACATGAGCTTCAACAGACAACTTTTCTTGAACAATGTCTGAGGCAACTATCTGGTGGAGAACATTTCTTGCAGCATCACTTTTAGGATCTAACCAATCTACACTGTTAAACATCTCTTGAACTTTAGCAAAAGCTTCTATAGGAAGGCCCTCTTCTTCAAAATAAGTCGAATCTATTGGAACTGTAGAAACTGCAGTAGTGTCCATGTCTGAGAAAAGAAGCTCAGCTCTGAAGTCGTTGGGAAATAGATCCTTAGCATCCCAAAGCATGTCGATTTCATCACGATTGAGCATTAAAATATTTGACCTAATAAATGCTGTGTTGAACACTGCGCGAAACATCATCTTTTCACGAATCAGATCATCATGTAAACTGATACACTCCATCACGATGTCTCCTTGAACATGGGAATTGATGTCAATTTTAACCAGTTCAGATTCTGCTTGTTTGTAGTGTCGGACATTCTTGCTCCCTTTTGGAGTTGAGTACAGAAGTTTAGGGGTTTTATCACCAGGAAAAAAAGGATCTTGTCCATAAACCCTAAAAATAGGACAGCAACCACCGTTTCCATCAATATCAGGAATCATTCGGATTATCACACAATCCAAAGTGAGTGCCCTATCCAATGGAGGCCATTCTGTAGCGACATTCCTCCTTGATACATACTGTAAGTACCTTAATTGAGAAGGTAAAGGATTTAGAGGAGAGAAGAATTGTAATAGTTCACGCGGAGCTTGCTTATAAACCATGTCTAGGGTTTTGTATTCCCCAGCGTATTGCTTTCTGTAAATCAAAAGTGCAGCCAACATGCAAGCCAAAACCGGCCAACCACCCTGCTCACAGTGCATCAGAAGAATGTTTTGCTGGCCAAGTGAAAGCCAGCTTTCACTTGATCTTAGAAAATGGTGGATAACCTCCATTGGAAGCAATGGGCAACCTTCGTATTGTCGAGGATAGTCCATAATCGTCATGTCATATTCCGACAAAGCAGAAGCGATTTGACTTGATTTTACATCACCAAAGTTAAAAATCAGGACGGAAGCATCGGGATAATGGTCCTTGAGCTGAGAAATTGTGTTTCCCACATAACTTTTATAATCTTCTTCTTCCCAAGCATCAGTTGTGAAACAGCAATCGAAAACTAAACACCAAATGTGCAAACCATCAATCAGCAAACAGAGAAAAATCCAAGCTCACAAATAAACGAATTATTAGGCCTAAAACAACAGAAAAACAGTTGTAAAACGCTACTTGAAAGATCGAAAGGGTAAAATTGATTACCATAGATTCTTTCAGAGATTTCAAGAAGTCCATCAGGTGGTTTCTTGTAAAACAATTTCCGTAACAATGCCATTAGTATTAATCAGTGAACTTGAAACCCTAAAACTGTAAAAGCAAACTATGTGTGCAGAGAAATTGAGATGGATAGATAGATAGATACGTGCTGCTGTAGCAGTTAGGAGCTGGTAGAGAACTGACGAGTTTTGTCGGTGGTGAATCTATGGCGGTTGAGTATGTATTAGGTGGTGGTGTACTGTTGATTGATTGAAAGAGAAGGAAAGCTTGAAGTTACGTCTGAAATCAGGTTTCTGGGAGGCGAGTTACAGTTACACGTCAGACGACAACGTGTTTAGCACTGTTGTTCGACAGAGACCAACTATGACTGTAGCATGAAAGTATATTCAATAAGGTGTTACGAATTTTCAATAGGGATATTTTTGAAGATTATCGTTATTACCCGATATTTTTGGGATTTGCCAAGATTACCTCTATGTACCAAGTTTTGTATATCTCTATTTTGACATTTTGATACCATAAATTAAATAGTATTCTCATATCCATCCACACATATGTCGTATTTAATAGAAATAATAATATTTCAATCACCATTTAAAATAGAGAAAAAAATATAAAAGAATATTTAATTTCTCTTTTTCTTTTTGATACGTATAAATGATTAACATAACACTAAGTTTTTTTATATGAGTTTTAAAAATTCAAGTTTTGTGAATTCTAAATATATGTTTTGTATTTTATATACGTGAATTTACATGTATAAAATAAGAATTAAATTCTATAACATGCGGCATGTATAGACACATAACATTTACATACATGTATAAGGATGTATTAGTAGCATACTCGTGCGATGCGGCGGCGGAGATTAATTCATTTCAACGATTGGTTTCATTTCGGTGGCATTAGATGATTTCCTTGTTACGACGTATGTGACAGATTCATTTTGGTGAATAGTTTCCTAGAGACGATTGGTTTTCTCTCGGCTGGTGATTTTTATTTCTTTGCAGTGAAACATTTCATATTTTAAAGAAAACACATTGTAGTTTGTAAAAACTAAAATATGTTCATGTCTTGGTTTAAAAATATAAGTATATTGTTGTTTTAGATTAAAAAGTAAAAATATCCACAATTTTGGTTTAAAAAATATAAATTTGTTATTATTTTTGGTGAAAAATAAAAGGTTAGGTTAAAAAATAATTATATTATTGTTTTGTGTTAGAAGGAAAAATATGTTACTTTAAGCTAAAAATACGAAAATTAAAGATTTAGACATAACAGCGTAACCATACACAACCCATATAAAGCAGATTCATAAATCGATTACTTTCATTAAGAGTTTCCAACTAATAGTTTAATTTATTATGAAATAGATGTATAATCGAAAAATAAAAAATAAAAAGGTTTATTATTTTAAAATCTTGATCGGTTTATTCTGTTAACCGAAATAGACAAAATGTTAACCGAAAACCGAATAAAATAAGGTTTTAAAATTTCGGTTTAACTGAAAACCGAATAAAATCAACCGATTAAACCAAACGTTTTTTGGTCCGGTCGGTTTATACGGATTTGGTTTTCTTCAAACACCTGAAGTTCTGCTGTAGAGCATAATGCGAAGAGAAATTGTGAGAAATCCCTTTGTCGGTCAAAAATTCTTCAAACGCATAATTTTTGAATTCCAAACCGTTATCACTACACATGATTTCAAATACGTAATGTTGGTGAGTTCACACTTTTTTTTTATAGTTTTCTATTTTATTTGATTGTTTTAATTAATAATCATTTTTCTTTTAGAAATAGTTAGGATATTTTGCCAATCCTAACTTAAAATACTTTCTAGAATATTTCACTCATCCTAATTTGTTATAATATATTTTAGGATATTTTATTAACCGTAATTTATTATAATAGTAACTACTTGAAGGCGTCCCTCTAGGTAGTTGGTTCTCTAAGGTTTTCAGTATGCATTACCATGAGCCCCATAATCGACGTTATAGACTAATAGTTTCCCTCGTACGACGCTTCATCGGACGTCGAATATTACTTGTATATAATTAAGAAAGTTATTTTGTCGAGATTGTAGCTAGCAATCGTAGGTGAGGGTGACAATACCCGTATAGATCTATCTATACATATCTTTCTGGCTCTCGCAGGAGTAACGATTATAGGTTTGGGGTAGCCGAATTCAATCAAGACTATTGGATGAGTAATAAAAGCTCTTTTAACACATTTGACTTTAGATGTTTTATATTTTCTTTAATTCGTTTACTCAATAACTCCTATAATTATTACTATATAATTTATTTACTTTATATTTGATAATTATAAACTACAGATCTCACACACACACACACACACACACATATATATATATATATATATATATATATAATTTTACTATATATACCCTAATTATGGTTGAAAACATGATATTTACTCGGAGTAGTGACTTAGATACAGTGAATATCCCTATAATTGACCAACATTACTTCTAGATACTATGTTATCCTAGGAAATTGGTCAGCATAACCTCTAGGTAAAAACTTTTCCTAGACTATTATGCATCATAATTTTCAGGCATAATATCATAACTTACAACTAGGTAGAGTATCTATTAGTATATTATCCTAAGGTTTTGTGCTTTATATAATCACATATAAAATATATATATTTCTAAAGCAGTGTGATAAGCATGTATCCTCCCCCCCCCCCCCTAAAACCTTTGGAATAGTAAAATGAGGTTGTAAACTCACCCTTGACGCGTGAAACTGTTGATGTAGGGTTGAATCGGGCTCGAGACTCCGAGGATCGCCTAGGGTAACAACCTATTTGAGACCATAAAAAGAGAGATTTAGAGAAAGTTGTGCATAAATGGTTTTGTATTGCCTTCTACTTATAGGCATGAATTTAGGTGCGCGTCGCGCATGATTATCGTGGCTCCATCCATAGGTTGCCACATGTCACCTCCCCTACTTGGCCACGTGTCTCGCAATCTACTCGAATCCCATGCAGGTGCGCAACGGGCATAAGCATACACCTCGCACGCACAAAATGTTTTTGTAAAAATCATAACTCTTTCGTGCGAGCTCCGATCTAAGCCCTCTTTATATCTATGCGATGACCTCAAGGAGTACTAAACTATCATTTAGGTTGTTTGAGCTAGTTTTGACTTTCATTTGTTTGTGACTAACAAAGGTAAAAATAAATGATTTTTCAAAATCATATCTCTCAAATACGGATCCCGTTTTCGGCATTATTTGTCCAAGTTTGTATCTCAAGGAGTAGTACGAATCTCCTTTTTGCACTTTTAGTCAAAAATTAACCAATCTCTAAGTACCGTTTTGACGTAAATAACTTTAATTATGCAATTCATTTGTACTTTTTACTAAATACATAACTCCTCCAACCGGAGTTTGATTTTTATAAATTTTATATCCCTGAAATCACGTCGACAAGTACTTTCTAAATACATTAACGATTTTAAAAGACGACACAAGTTTTAGATGCTTATTTTCGAGCCTAACAGTCGATTTAATCATAAATGTAAAGGCATATTTGATTTTTATTATCTCATAAATCAAATATTACAATATTAATCTATGACTTTTCTTTTCCTACTCTCTCCCAAAGGTGGTCAGTGACAGAATCTTCTCGATTGTCACATGATTATTCGCGATAAATTATCATAGTTTTTGTTACTATTTAATACATATTTCTCAATACATGACATTAGACAATTATTTATAATGGATCTTTCATCTATCACACAAATAATTATTTATCAACTTTTATAAAATTTAAATGTGAGGGTTGTTGTTCATCTTTTTCATGTGTTTTTTTTATAGTCATAAGATGGAAATTTTGTTTCGCCTTTAAAAAAACATTAACATTCTAACTAAATTAAAAGCATAAAGGTATACTAAATTAACAAAAAGATATGCAATTAATACTAATATTTGTAATCACGTAATAGTTGAGATTGAGGAAGTGATTTAGAAAGGATTTCAATCAAATATGTTGCAATCATTGTTATTGACTTATCAAAAATCGCTAACTAGGTGGTTGATTTATCAATTTCAACATGGAAGGTGTTTATTATAGAGACAGACATTTTGTAATCAACCGAGTTTGGAATGCCTTCAATCAATAATGAATTGTTTTTTTAGGATGACATCATCAGAGAAATCAACAACGATTCAAATGTTGAAATTAATCAAGGAAATACAATGAATGGTCCCGATTGTTGAAAATGATGTCATCAAGTTTCCTTTTTAATATATATATATATATATATATATATATATATATATATATATATATATATATAGGGATGAGCATCGGAATCGGCCCGGAAACCGAACTTGGTGGAAAATAGGAACCGAACTGGTCCTTGGGTTCCATCGATTCCAGTTCCTACTGGTTCTTGTTGTGTCTTCAATATTGAAACCGATCATCGAGAAATAGCAACACACGGTTCTGTTTTTTTGCCGGTTCTACCGGTTTTCGGTTTCAAAAATCCACAAAAATATTGTCCCGATCCCGGACTGATCAATTTTATTCGGTTTCGGCCGGTTCCCCGTCCAAATCTTCGTCCCTATATATAGAGATAGTTGCACAAAATGAGGAGCAATTTTGTAATGAAACATAGTACAAGGACTGTTTATATAAACTTTACTTGTCTCACGTGAATCAAACATCACTTTGGGTCCTGGGGATAACGAGGGGCCGAAACTCCTTCTATCCATAAAGAGGGCGAGAAGAGGGGTTTATGTGTTATCATTTTAAACCCCACTGAATCGAATCGGTATTTTATGGTTCTCTTTAGAGCTCCCCACTCTTGTTTACCCTCTTAAATCTCCAAAAGGTTTCGTGAATCGGCCATTTTTCTGCTTCCAATGGCTTGCAGACTCGCAGATTCTAGTTTCCTTTTGAAGGTAACATGCATTCCGTCAATCTCTGAAGTTGAATTTGTTCGTCTTAGACACTGTTTGATGTTCCTTGGTTAATTTTGATTTTAGGGTCCTCAACAAAAGCGAATTCATGGACACAGATTTGTGTCACTGTATCCAACAGGTATGAATCCTTACTCTCGTGGTTTAATTTGGAGATTTGGGGTTTTATCGTCTCAATGCATTAGTAACAAGACGCGGTCTTAAACAGTTAAACAGTTAAGTCTGTTCATTAGAATCGATGATTTTGCCCAATATCAGGTTGTGATGGCTTTCTGGTTATAGATATGTAAACCTCCACGTGGTTAACAGACCTATATATTGCTTCGTTGATGTCAAACATAGTCGATGAATGATGATATTGAATGTTGTCCCTATAGTAGAGTGCTATCTAGACCTGCAAAACCAGAATCCCTAATGTGGTTAGGGCCTTCAGACACCAATTAAAAGAGATTAAGAGTAAGAAGAAAGAACAGTAGCTAATTA